CAGTAAAAAATCTTTTCTACATATAATATAATAAATAAATACAAAATGTATTTACAATTTTACAAGTTTCTCTATTTTCTTATTCGTGCATGGCTTTGTATCTGCAGATAGACTGAAAGACAGAATTTAGCACTTCTTTTGCTGTGTGAATGTTAGCATTGTTTATTCTTACTAAGCTTCCAAATTCTCTGATATAATGATCTACTTCAACATCTTTCGATAAATCTTTCGTTGCCATATATTTATTCGTTAATTGAGAAAGTTTCAATAGATCAGAACTGAAGGCTTCATCCAAGTCAAATAATTCCAAAGCTGGCGGTGGTAATTCTTGAAAACTTGGAGGAAAAACCTGAAAGAACAATTTTTGAATATGGATTCAAGCAATTCACAGTATAACTGGTACAAATAATAAAAATTTTTACCGATGCTTGCGTAGGTGGCAACGGAGACTCAAAATGTGGTGGAATTAAGCTTAGAGGTTCATGTTTCACATCTAAAACTTCATAAGCTTTTATACAAGCTGGTACCATATTTAAATTTATTGAATACAAGTGATGCTTGAATAATTTCGTATAATCATAAGAATTATCCATCGTGTCCATATCTTGTGTGCATACTTTTGGGTTGTCTGCTTGTTGAGTTATGTCAGGCACAAAATTGTATTCCCAAAACTAAATGAATGGTCGTATTATTAATCATCATGAACGATATTACTGTGCGTAGAATTTTTATAAAATTTTTATAACTTACATCTACATCGTCCATTTGATATTCTTTTGTTACAATTTCTTTCGACTCGAAAAAGTCAAATATCATTTCTCTCAATACATCATTTTTTTCTTTCTCAATATACATGTCGGTTAACATTTTCGACGAACCTAAGACAACTAATTTACCACCGCTAGTTTCACTGTAATAATACGCGCAAATGGGTCTGTTCATTGGAACTGCAAGTGATCCACTGGATAATGCAACTACCGACGGCTGTGCCACATTTAAGGTTGCGCCATATGGATACAAATATTTTGTATTTCTAAAAACAGAAGAAAAGAAGTATTAAAAAAAAACTTATTTATCCTTTTCTTTTCTCATAAACAATTAATATTTTAATTTAATAATTTATGTACATGTATTCGTCATGATTCCTTGAAAATATTGATTTATTTGACATTCCCTGGGAAATTAAACATTCTTTTGGATGCATTACTTGACTATAGCTCATACGAATTACACTATCTGAAAGATAAATATTAATCAGTGTAATTCATAAAAATTAATTTTATTTAAATCATATCATATTATCAGATACTCTACCGTTGTTCACCATTATACCGAATTCTTCAAGTAAGAAATTCACATTTGTGTTTGATTTATTTTCACCACCTTCGCCAAGCATGACTAAAATGTGGCCAGAAGAATTTAGAAATGTTCGAATGGAATTCATTTCCAATTCTGTGAATTTGTTTTGAGGTCCCGGCAGCACTAATACTTTACATGTTGATAAAGTTTCATCTGTTAATGCATCGTTGTTTCTAAAAATACAGTAAGTTACAAAAACGTTACCCTACCAATTAAAATGAATAAAAAACAGAAAGGACAAAATGCTACAACATACTCAACAAATTTCCATTTTGATTTCAACTTTCTTTGCAACACTTTAAATTCTTCATTCAGCTTTCTCTTGCACTTGGTAGCATCAAAAATAATAACATTCGTATTATTACTACTATCACCACCACTGAAAATTGAGCTCATAATTGAATATTAATTTACTATTGTAAATTTAATAAATACTACCAATCAAATAAATTACGTATTCTGAATTGGCCTATTGCACTAATAAACAACGTGGTTATTCGAACTACAATACATTTGTATTCATTAGCGTTGCCATTAGCAACTATGCTATATCCAGCATTAAAATATATAGAACGTATGTACGTACATAATTTCTACGAATAGTATAAAATTCAATAAGGACAATGAGAATCGTAACATAATTTTTATTTTATAATGTAGTTTTATAATATAGTTATATATATATATATATATTATATTATTATTATTATTATTATATTATATTATATTATATTATATATATAACTATATTATAATATAGTTCTCTTTATGATATTCATAATTTATTTCTATTTAATTATTATTTGCAAATTGATTAGAAACCGAACAAATAATTAAATTAGTTTTGTAACTTCCGCATTGTGGTGAATATTTGCTAGCGGAGTTCGCCGATAAATCTCAATAACGTATTTTCTGGAGTCCTGGAATTGAATTATCATTTTAGTGTCAGTTAGTACAATATTGCCGATAAATTAAAAGCTTAAAATTTCGTGGGCTCAAACAAAGCATCTACATATGTACATTCGTACATAATGCTTTCGTAACATCGAATAATGACTTTGCGAAAATTCTACATACATATTTCTTTTATGCATAGACTCTTACACGGCATTCCGATTGCGAATTTTCAACGCGCCAAATATAAATTGTTCGGTGACGCGGTTGAAGCGATCAGTGAAAAATATCGGCACTCTTTAAAACATACTATAAATTATAATTTTGATTATTATATGTGTAATCGCAGGTTAACCCTTAAATGCATGATTTTTTGTCTTGAATTTTAAAAAATCGTTTTTTATAGGAATGTAGTCATAGGTTACGTAAAAAATAAATAAAAAAATCTAGGTAAGAATATTGAGTATTTATTTTGAAAAAAAGTTGTATGTAGGCTTTTGGCAATAATATGCGTTTATTACTAAAATTATTGTAGACGTACACATTATTTATAAATGAAATGCAGCAAAGCAATTGCGATTTTTGTTGTGACACAAAGCAATTTTTAAACTCGAAAAAAGAAAATATCTCTCCAAGTAACACATTGAAGGTGATCATCCACCACATTCAAATGTCAAGAAACACATAACTTACTCGCCAAAAGTAATGTCAAGTCTTTTATTTCACACATGATCTATTTTCTATTGTTATCAACGTGTGTTCGGAAACGCAAATACTCAGGTTTTTGAATAAAATTAAGTGGAACTGGAATGTAGACAATTGGCAACAATATGCATTTAAGGGTTAAAATTAACGCTTATCCTTGAACGTTACGAACAGGAAGATTGCAACCATACAATTTTTAATTTTACGAATTTAAATAAATGTATATTAGATTTACTGTTTTATAACTTGTTAATCCAATGTATTTCCTATATTAGAATGACAACATAGAAGACAGATGATCATTTTGTTCTTTTTTTCTAAATTTATTAAATTGTTATATCTAGATTTTATTTTACTTATTTTATCGTATAAATAAGTAAATACGAGAACTACGTACGCGTATGCGCATACATAATTATTTATAATAATATAAATATGTAAAGGGTATAATTGTATGATACAGTAATGTATCATTTGCGTAACTCGATAGACGCCTGGGGGTCCTTACCTCCTTCTTCTAATGTACGAATTGAAAAAATTAATTTACTTTAAACGTTCAAAGTATCATCTTTCCATCAAAAAATTATTTATTTACCTACAAAGAGATTCGTGAGTTAGTAAAAATCTCGTGCTAGAAGAAATAAATGGTTAGACAGAAATACAATATGCAATGTCAAAAGTCAAGACGACAAGGAGAAAGAGTCTCCCCCCACCCCTCCGCCCTTCCTCTTCGCTGCTGGCCGGCGAACGGGGATCCTAGTTACGGCAATTGTATGCAGTGTATAAGTTGGCAATCCTGCAAAGTGTATCGCGGTTAACCACTCCAGCTCAAGAAGCAGGAATTTCGATCTTCGCTCGTCATATAAAAGTATCTGCAATAATGAGCGAATCTCAATCGAAGAAAGTCAAGATGGCAAGCTCGTTAACGCAATTAAAGGAATTCACAACAATTGTCGCCGATACTGGTGACTTCCAAGGTGAGTAAACGGAAGAAAAAATTTATTCGGAGCTAACGTGTTCGGGCAAAGGTGAAGATAATTATTGCGAAGCATGACAGAGACAAATATATATATATATATAATGTATTTGTAACTTTTAATTCTAAAATATTAATAGACATGTTAAAAATATTTTAAAAAATTGATTTATTTCGTGTGGGACTTTCAAATACTATATTTATTTTACGATTGTATGTACTGTTATAAAATACCCTACATTCTATTAGTGGAAAAATACTTGTTTGTCTCTAGATTACGTTATAGACCAGATAGTGGGGAACATTACAAAATCAACCGATGTTACGATCTCATTATTTTTAATAATTACATTTTTAATTATATAATATACTTGTTTGTACAGTGTGCTGGAATAGTCAAAATTCATTAATAATTGATTTTATTTC